TTAAAATATATTTTATAAAATATCAGTTCTTAAAAAAATAAAATAAAAAATAATTTTAAATAGGCCCATAATTCAGACCAATAATATGGTTTTAAAGAAAGCAATAGAATACATTTATTTTGTGCATTGATATGTTGAAGTCATCCATGAATCTTCAATAACATGTATTTTGGAGACGAGTGTAGAAGAACGGAAAGTATGTTGATATTCTGGCTCAAAAATATATTATCCTTCAAGAACATGGTCCCTTGCGGATTTTATTACACTATTTAGGACTTGTGTCCAAATATTTAAGTTTTTGGACCTTACAGCCAATTTTTTCTACATTTAAGTTATTTAAGTTGTTTGATTTTTCGTGGAAAGATATTTTCAAGTTACGGTACACAAAATTATAATTTCTTGGCCTAAAATTCATAAAATGAGTTTTATTTTTTAGATAAGTTACTGCACAAAAAATTATAATTCGTTGGCCCAAAATTCATAAAACGAGTTCCATTTTTGTCTGTTAATTAGATATATATATATATATATATATGTATGTATATATGTATATGTATATATATATAATAAATGAGTCTTCTAGAAAATGTAAGTTTAAATCACGATTGTGACTAAGCACTTACTCAATATTATTATCGTAAGGCACTGACATGATCACTCTAGTTTGCTTAAAATTTTAAAAATTAAAAAAATATCTAGCCTAATAGCTTTATCTTTTTATACATACTTTCATCTTTTCAAACATCTGACTAATATGTTTTTTTTTTAATTTTTTAAAAAAAAAACACATGTTATAAAATATCCGGGTAATATACGGGTTCAGCTCAAAAGTATAAGCCATTTTTATTTTTATTTGTCATTAAATTACATGTTTTCTTATTTTCTGTTTACTTCGTGTCTTAAGTCTGTTGTTTTTCCTTACCCACGATACTAGTTATCTAGTTAATTTGGACTTCCATGTAATTCTATAATATCATATTATAATTTAAAATAACATTTGTATTTTTTTTTATAAAGTACTCTTCTAAACTATAATAGCTCACTTATCTAAAATTATAAGAGCACCTAAATGCCCTAAGTAGATGAATTTCCCATGTATTATATGAAATCTTAGAGATTGATCCACATTGTTCATAGTTAATAAAGTAGTATTTGCCATGTATTTTATATTTTATATAATGATTGATTAATGCAATCAATTTAGTTTGTGTATGGTATGCTGAATATTTAAAATTCAAAACATGGAAAGCTATATAAAATGACAAAAATAATATATATAGATATTTTGTTAAGAAGGTGTAAATAATTAATGATGGAAAATGAGATGTTCATATTTTATATGAAAGGTGGTCCTAAGCCAAATGGAAGCCAGTTATGTATGTTGCACCATAAGAAGGAAAAATTAATTTGATAACGCAATAATTAAGGCTGATTAATTAATTAATATCTTTTTTCACGTCAAAAGCAGAAACCGCCGCCTAAATTGCCAGAAATTATGGAACCTTTCTTTTCTATTCATTTATTTATTTTTGAAGGTGTTGTTGGTCCCTAACTTAATAATGTAAATTCAACAGTGAAGTTGTTGCTGCTGGTCACAAATTCATGAACTTTATTCACTGAAGCAAAAAAAGCCATCCAGACCATGTTTTTCTCTCAATATTTGTAATAAAAAAAACAGAGATTTCATTAACTTTTAGGAATTCAGATAAATTGTTATTCATATAACAAAACATTAGTTTTAGTGAAAGAGATTATTCATAACCATTTAAATACAAATGCTTTAAATCTGAATATGTGTGGATACAGAAAATGTTTTTGAGAAAATATTTTCAATTGAGCCCTGCAATATTATAAAAAAAAGAAATTGCTGCATAGTTTGTTAATTTTTTTAGTCTAATCAAATTGTTTTCATATTTTATATTAATTTCAATCAACCTATTTATAATATAAGAACTTTATCAAGTCGTGTCATATTCGTGAATCATGGATATGGCAACTTATTTTTTTTTTTTTAAATTCTGTACATCATTCCACAGGCATACACATTATTATTATTATTATTATTATTATTATTATTATAAAAAAGATATGAAGATAAATATTAAAATAATTGAGCTTAGCCTTCTGCAGTGTTTCATTCTCATAGGATTGTTGGGGCCCTTTTTCTCCGAGTAGTGAAATCATTACTGCTGCTTCTCAAAAGCCTAAACCTTTCCTTTTCACATTTCTTTAATACTTGTTTGAATATCTCACTTTACACTTCAAAGCCTGCTTCAATGGCAAGTTACCACAGAAACTATTCACATTCTTTGTCTTTCTTGTCCCAAGTCTTATTTTATATTATATATATATGTGTGTGTGTGTGTGTATGACCAGCACTTGTCCTAAGTCTAAAGCAAAGGACATTATTAGATTAGGATTAATTTTATAACACAGGGGATGTACCTTTTGTCATCAGACCCACATGAAAAATGAACCAGACCTTCCTCTCATGTCTGATGGACATGTTGGTTCTAATTTTTTGTGACTTCAAAAACCACCAACCCCGCAAAGAAACAGAACTATGTTTCACATTCAAAGTGAAGACTTATATATGGAAATCTACGTTCAGGATATCAGGAATCTTTTGATGCAGGATTGAGAGGTTATTTATGGCCATGCGTACAGACAAGAGAAAGAAATACATATGCCGATTTCATTGCTCACTTCGCTCATAACATAAACACACACTTAATTTCTTTAAACTTTGTTGTTTTTCATTAAAGCTCTGACCTTTCTATGCATCTTCAAAAAAAAAAAAGGATTTTTATTGATTTTAGAGAGGGAAGGAATCAACTAGAACATTCATAGACTTATTGTTTGTATGATGAGCGTGAGCCTAATAAGCAGGCCAGCTAATCAGCAGAGTTATTGGTTTCCCTGAATATACGATTGAAGGTAAGAATTCAATGGGCATAACAATTTTACAGATTTTGTCAGTTGAAGGCTTCACATGAGAAACCAACCAGCTCGTGTTTGGAAAGTGATTGAATGAAAGAGAATAAGATTGCACATTGAATTGGAGGACACTGTATTTATTGAGGCTCACCAACAAAGAGCTCAGTCTCACACATGGCCTCTGTTTCCATAGCTCTAGATTTTAGTTTAGATTGGGAAATCAATAATGGAGGATAGATGCTGGGAAGATTTTACCACAAGGGAAAGTTTTGATTCTCATGAGATATGAGTAATCAACTTTATCAAAACTTCCAAGCAGTTAAACATCCATAAAAATAAAAGTAGCAAATGCTCGAGAGTAAAGGCAAGATGCAGTAACAAAAGAAAAAAGAAGCAGCAGCGGAGATAAATATCTAAAACTAAATGCCTCTCTTTTGTATATTCCAGCATGTTCTGAGATCGTGACCTGAATATTACTTTCTAAAAAATGTGTAACGGTGTCTTGAAACTTGCTTGCAGGCGGATTAACTTGAAATGGAATGAATGTGCCTTGCCCAGTTTGAAAGTTTTGAACTTTTTGGCTTTTTCGCTGAGGAAAAAGTAAAGCAGGTCAAGAAGAGCTCAATTATCAAAGGTAATATACACTATGCTCTTGGGTGCAGTGAGAATTAATGGCAGTGGGATTTCCAAAGAAAAAGATCCTGCATTTAACAATGTCTCTTCTCTGACAGATGTTTCATCTTGCAGGCAGAATCACATAAAACAGTTTTCGTTTTTCTTCTGCCTTCCTTCCTTCCTTCCTTCCTTTTTTTTTTTTTTTTGGCTTTCTTTATAAACAAGTATAGTTCTGCGGCATTCGATTTTGTCTTGGCTCAAACAAAAAAGCTCATTTCTGTACCACGGCAAAAATGGTGACACTATGCAGCAGAATGGACAAGTTGCTTGTTTGTGATTTGGGAAGAGTGTTTTGGGTTTTTTTTTTTTTTAACCAAACTCGAAATTGGGCGTCTTGAACAATTCCTTCCACTGCCAGGCATTTATTTATTACAAAAAATCTGACAAGAACAACAAAAATTGGCCAAGTTTAACAGAAATCCAAGTGGAATTTTCTGCAGGAATTGAAACTAGCAAAAAAATATGGGATAATTATTAACCTACCACCTCAAGGGATGGATATCTCAAGGGATAGATAAATAAAATAATGAATAAACAAGGCTTCTGAAGATATGCTTGGGGAGCATTGAAAAATAAAACAAAACGAGGACTGAAAGTTAACCTTAGTGCTCGTTGAGTTTTTTGTTAAGCTAAAAATTTACTTTATCAAAAATTTATTTGACAAAAATCAATTTAATAAAAGTTTGTGTTGTATTCTTTGCAATAATCCAGCCATTCTCTCTCTACATTTCTTTGGATAATACTTTTTCTTTTCTTTTTTATTTTTTGTAATTTTTTCATTTACAGTGATCACGAGTAGCTTCTTCGTGTTGAGTCAATCCACTACGAATGCTTAAGAATACAAAGATTTCTTGATTTGGTTTTTGACTTTGCTTCCCCGTTTCTCTCGTCAATGGTTGACTATTAATTCGAATGAGAGGAGAGAGACCATAAGTGTAAATTTCTTCGCTTGAGAATCTTGTCCATGGAAATATATTCAGTCTTCCACTGCTGGAACATAATACAAAAATTTGACAGCAACTGAATGAATATCTGGGGGCAACTTTTCTACACCCATGATTAACTTAATCTAATAATATCACGCACTAAGTCTATTAAAGCATCCTTATAGTTTTAAGTTTCTTATTATGTATGTGCTCAAAAAAGTTGGGAGCCTCTGACCTGTACAAGCTTTAGAAGATTCTGAACTTGTCCAACTCACAGGAAAGCTAACTTGTAAGGCAATACTAGTTCCAGACTCGTTTTTTGCTGTAAGTGAAAAAGAAATCAACCTCCAACAACTGGAATCTCGTCTTTTTTCTTTATACTTTGTGTCACATTCATGAGAATAAACCAACAATGGATATCACAGTTCCATTACTTGTAACCCCCAATGTATAGAAAGCATAAAGGCTACAACAATGATGTTGACTAACCATGATAACATTCCAGCGAAATCAATTCTTTAAGGGAGGAATTTTACACCCGTCACAAAGAGAGAGGAAGTTTTTCAAAAAATCAAACCAGGTTGTTATATGTACCTTTTATTCTGCAAAATCTAGAAAAACCACCTCCTGTCAAATATCACTCGGACAAAGCTAAGGAAAGGAAAAGATGTAAAGCTGTCCAGAAAACAGCGTGTAGTTTCCTTTTTGGATACAGTACATAAGGACTATTAACAGAAGAACATTAACTCCATGAACAAAATGGAATTTTCTATACATCACCTGACTGCAGACATGAGAACAAAGGAGAAAAGGAAGGAATTTGATGCTAATACCATACAATTCAACTTACCATCTAAGATCCCAATAATCACCATTGTTTATATTGATTTCCATAAGTTCCTCGATAGATTGACGGCATATTGGGCATTTATTCGATTGAAGCCACAAAGCTTGTGCGCAGTCACTGCACATGCACTGGAAAATACAACCGTTGTATTATTATCAGAATATAAAATCAGCATGCGTGTGCGTGTGTGTATTCTGTTTTACCAGTTTTAATAGTACATGCATGATCTGAAAACATGCATAGAGCTGAAAGCTTTGAATTTTGAACCCATACAGAAAAGAAATCTAGATATACAAGGATCAAGAAACAGCCAACTGCCCTCTCCTATTGAATATAGCTATAGTGAAACTCCTACAGACGACAGCTCATTATCCAATGATTGACAAAAACATCATCCCATATCAGCAGACTGCACTTGTTAAATATCAACCCTCTACATGAGTGGATTTGAAATGAAATCTTACCAAGTGTCGACAAGGTAATACAGCTGTGTCCTTTGGTTCAGTCATGCATATTACACACTCCTTCCCAGAATCATTGTCATCAAAACCAGCTGCTACTGAGCCTCCTATTCCATATAACTCTCTTAACTCATAACGGACCCCATCAATCCACAGAATCTGCCTGTCTACTTTTACTTGTAAAGAACCATCACCATTGCCTTTCTCAACGATGGCTTGAGTAATCTGCATGTGAGGAGAAAAATCTAGCACGGAATTGCCAAGATTTTCGTCTACTGATGAAGTTGCCAAACATGTTTCAGCGCATATTACAAGGGGAAAGACATTATCTCCAAGTGAGGGTTTTGAGAGATCATCCAACTCAAAAAACCCTACGTCAATGCCTGTTCCTGAGGGCTGACAAAATTTCTGGCCTACTCCTTTCTGAAAGGGGATTCTGATTGGCTCAAATACATTGGAAAACAATGGTACAAACCTACATTTTTCCTCCTCTTTTGCAAAGTAGAATATCGTAATGCTGACAAACAGAAATACAAAGAATATTAAATTTAGACATGCAGGAGTACTCAACTATAGTAATCCAGCTAACAAAATCTTTTTGTTTTTAGGTTCATTCCATAAGCACCATGCAAATCAAAGTTACTTTATCAGATTGAAGCTCACTCAAACAACTGGCATGTTTGAAGTTCTTAATTTAAGAGTTCATATCTGGTTGTAAAACAATCTTCTTGAAGATTTAGATTTAAATACTTTACATGAGTGTGATGGATCCCTCCCTCTACACTACCATATTTTTCAGCAATCTGAATGACGATATATTAATCATGACTTCATGATTGAAGATGAGCTTTAATAGAATAGGTGATAGGTGTACTAGCTAGACAGTTTGCAAATTATCCCAACTCTTAAATGACTAACAAACACATTGAACACTTTCATGGATAGAATCGTTGGTACAATCTCCAATTGGCAATATTCCTTTTTTAAATTCTCTGCATTCCACTGTAGGTGGACAAAGTCTCAAAATAGTGGGGATGTTAGACTGACATAAATGTGAAGGGAATGAAATGAAGAGTTTTGCAATAGATGAATTAGTTTCTTGATGATAAATAAATAACAGACAACTTCTGCATTGAGTATCCTCAAAGTCTAAGGTTTCCTAAGCGGTAAATACACTAAGGTCAAAACTAGAAAAATCATTTCTATGAGCATAAACTTCTACCAAACATATGCAGCAGCAAATTAGCAGTTAAACTAATTCAAATCTTCCAAAACAAAGTGACACATCAAAGAAAGTTCTTATTCCTTACCTCCCATCATGCAAGGCATCGAAAACGAATGAAACCAAGCGCTGATCAGGATAATGCTCATCTACCTCCAGCCGCAATGTATCTTTATGCACGTTGACATCATTCCTGATCTTCTTAGCCGTTCGATGATCAACATAGGGAGGTGGAGAGACGAGAGGACCAACCGATGGATAAATTGCAGGCCACCCAGTAGCATGATTTACAAAATAAGATGGGGGATACTGAAACCTACCCACCATAGAATTAGCAAAATTGGAACAATTGCTGTACGCATTTGAGTAACAGAAGATATGCGTCTGAGGAGGGGGATGCACATAGTTGCTATTTTGCAGTGCATAAGGCGTGGTTGAGGTGAAATAGTAGCCTTGCGGCGGCGGCGGCGCTTCTGCAGAGTAATAGAAAGGTGATGGAAGATGTGGGTTATGAAAATAATTGCTTGCTCTTCCGCTACTCGAAGAAATTCCCATTTCAAAAGACAGAGGCAGAGGCAGGGGCAGAGGCAGAGATGATATTGAGAAAGGAAAAGTTGAAGGATTAGAATTGAGAAATGGTTATGAATGGCAGGGCCACTAATTAGTTTCGGGTTACTCAATGGCATATTACTTCCTCCTCCCACAAGGCATTCACCAAATTCTTATATTTTTTAGATTATAATTTTATAATTTAAAGTATTTATTTTATAATTGTCAATAATTTTTTATTCATAATTAAGAATTAATAATAAAATTAACAAAGTTAGAATATTTTTATAAAATAACATGAATGATGAAATCATAATATCATAATACTAAACAATAAAGGCAACAATTTTTTAAAAAAATATCTAACTTATTTATATGTTGTTTAAAAAATATTTGTTTTAGATATATTAAAGAAGATTTGAACCTTATCATTACCTAGATTATAAGTTACGTGTTATTTGTTGTCACATTAACTTAATTTCAGCACCGCTGATATCATTTTAGTGACTTGATCAAAGCAACTTAAGACAATTATTAAAAATATTAACTAAGCCAAAAATACTAGCTAAAGCCAGTTAAATATTAAATATTCTCCTTAATTTTTTTTCCTAATTAATGGACTTAATTATTTTGATTGAAGGGGGGAAAAATCAAATGGCTCAAGTATAAAATATCAAGAGTTTCATTGATCACATTAAAAAAAGAACAAGAATAATTTTCTACCAAGCTAATGCTCCATTATTCCTGTCGGCTAACCACCACACCATAACACACGCACGATATATTTTTTTCCCCCTCAGAAAAACACAATCATGATCAATCATTAGGTATATGTCAATGCTAAATACTCATCATAGAAGAATTGATAAGAAATCCTAAATTAACATTGTGGATTACACTACAAATTACAACAGTAAAGATGGATACAAAGAACCAAGAATGGTCCAGACAACAAATTTACTGCCACTATGACAAAAGTCACACATTCAAGACCCAAATTTCTTATATTGATTCTGTGTAAATATAAAAAATATATCCCTCCATATATAAATAAAATAAGAATAAACACCCAGCTTCTGCTCAAGCATTTAACTAAGAAACAGAGATAGCCTTGAGAAAGTGGGGAAAAGAATTTACAGAAACAATTTTTTTTTTTAATTTTCATGATGATTGTCCTGGGCAGCAGCATCTATCTTGATTATCAGTGGTTGGTTGAGATCTGCTGCATGTTCAGCAGTAATGGGCAAATCTGGAGAGGGAAGAGAGCCATCTATATCTCCATTTTCAGACAAAGCTTTTTCTAAAGCAGACTTGGCAACCTTAGTTACACATATCATCAGAATCACTGCACTCACAAAAAATGACTGAGGGGGTAAACATCTATCTATCAAATGATCAACTTGCTGCTACAAACACAGCCATTATTCCCCAAGAACAGAGAGTCAGTTTGTATTCAAAGTAAAAAGAATTTAACTTACCAGATATTGCAAGACCCGAAATGATAAGTGCCTGCATGCACAAGAGAAGGAAGCATTTGTTATGTACAGTCAATTAGATCCAGTCAAGAAAATCAGTAAACCGCACGCATGATTCTGAAATGGATAGATAATTAGCATCTCTTACCCAACGAGTCTTTGAAAACTCACTCCACCCATGTGTTACATCTGATAGATCTTTGAGAGTTGTTCCGAGGTATACAAGTGCCAGCGTTACTGGCTGCAACAGAAACAACGTTGGAGGTGTTTAAGTGTTAACATACTACTGTAACAGGAAAGAACCTAGCAGGCTATAACAACATGGGCATTGGGCAGCGAACCTATACTCCCTCCGGTCCCCATTAGAAACCACCTCTACTCACCTTACCGAATCAAGAAGAGATAGTTAAATCATTAATTTCGTCTGAAAATAAAATAAACTTTCAATTTTATTCATATTCAAATGAAAATTTTTCAAATTTGCATTACATACTCTCATAATTAATGAGTTTAAATAGAGGTAATATTGAAAAAATGTAAGTAATGCCCCATCAAGTACCTTAAATTATGGACTAAGGAATTCTTCTAGAAGGAGCCTATAATAAGGACTGAAAGGAGTACACATCACAGGATTCACTGTTGGTTGAATGCATTGATGGACGACACACTATTAGCAGAGAGACCACAACCACTCAGACCCACATTCCTTCCCAAATCAATTCTCCACATATCATTTTAATCAGTCATATTCATTGACAATAGTCAGGTAATTAGGGTGCACCAAGGGTTCAATGTTGCAATACAGGCAATCAAAACGAACATCTATGATGGCTTTCAAAGGTGTCCAATATACCATCAAAAACTAACAATAAGAAATCTAACTGGCATTTGGCATTCCACAACTTTGAGGATCGCTAAGTGCGACAATAGAGTTTTTGCATGCATAAGTTCGCCATTAATAATAGACCAAGTGTGGAGAAGATACCATCATTCCTAACCACGAAGCCAGCATGTATTCCCCGGGTGAAACTGGAGTAACGGACAGGAGATAATTTAACATGTTAAATGGTAGTAGTGGAACAAGCCGGAGTAGTAATACAATCTGAAAGCCGAACAAGGAAATCAAAAACATATCAGATATACAGGCGAAAAAATGACAGCTGAAAGTAACACCAACAAAAACAGCAATAGGAAAAGGTCAATTAGAATAGTAGCCTTCTTCAAAAGCCACTAGTAATTGTCATGCTCTTAGCCACTCACACATCAAAAGATTCAAGAATTTCAGAACAGTACGGAGTATATGAACCTTGAAGCCAGATCGCTGAATTGCAATTGCCACTGATTTAAACTGAGGATAATCCTTCAGCCTGGAAATGACAAATGATTTCCCAATCTGTACAGATGGACAAAGATGTGAATATATAAACTCATGGAAACAAACAAGAGCTCGAAATAGAAACAGACCAAAATGTGGCCCAATAGAAAGGCTAACGAATCAAAAGAACCGTCTTATATAGAGAAAAGCAAGAAAAAAAGGGCATCAGGTGCTACAACGGAAAAACAATTATGTAATTATGGAGCAATGAGAAGTGGTCCAAAGGCGATGTTTATGTTCCAACTACTTAAAATTGCAAAACTTTAGAAACTCACTGTTCTGCCAAGAAGAAATGCAGCTCCTGCACCAATAGTTGCACCAACAGAATCAGCAACAAAACCCACTGGAAGCCCAAAAAGATAACCGCCACCAAGCTGAAAGCAGTAAATTAAGTTAAATGGCATGGTGTTGCTTTTGTTCTCCAACAGGTTCTTTAAAGAAGAGAAGCATGGAGATGATGAATGGCCAAAAAGCAAAAATGCAGACAGGACGATAACTACTTGAGTGAAACCAAAAGCAAACTTCAATAAGATATAAAATCAAGTTTTAATAATTACACAGATTAGCCACCAAGGCAGGTAAATTAAACACTCATTTTTGCAAATTAGAATATGAGGCTCCAAAAGGTCAAATGCCAACAAATTTCTGTCAATTTAGATATAATATAGGCATGTTGCCCAAAATAAATGACAAAACATAGTCACAGAGGCAGTAGCATCGCTGTTTCCTTATCATAAAATCAGATGTAACATAGGCATGTTGCCCAAAATAAATGACATAAAATTGTTGCATAAGCAGCACATGCATCTCTATTTCCTTAGCATCATATGCATCCAGTCACTGGACATTCTCAACCATAGAAAATGTTGTAGAAGAACAAACTTTGGGAACACAGCTATGTAGACAAGTCCACATAAAGAAAGCTTGTATAAACCATCACTTGAACAATTTACACTATACGTAGTCTACTGACTCCACCAGCGAATGGGAAGGACTATAAAGGCCAAAGTTTGTAACAGTGATTGTTGCAACAAGTTTTTATCCTCCTTTTAATACTTCACTACTTTCTACTAATGAGTTATTTCATTAAAGAAGGATTTACAACTGACTTACATTTATAAAGACTGTCACAAAGGTATAAGGTATCAAGTTTCTGTGTTGTGTGCGTGCATGTTGCATTACAAAGAAGGAGCCAAATAGCAGACTAATCAATGAAGACAGATAATATATTTTCTCAGCTTGGTTTATACTTTTACAATCTCACACTATTCTTTCTCATCATCCTAATTTATACCTTTTGAAAGGCAGACATCGGATTTCCAAGGTTTCAAGTTAAAAGAAAGATAACAGCCTTCAGTCTAAATCCACTACAGCAAAATTATTGGGGAAATTCTGTGCAATGGGCTAATGCTTCTCCAGCACACAAAGAAACTGAAAGGCAAGAATGGGCTGTTTGTAAAGCACAAAGAATATCATACAGCAAAAGTTACAAATGAATCATTTGAGAAGTGATTGAGTTTGAAAGAGTCAGTAATCCATAACATCAAACATAACTAGGATGGTAAAATTTTAAAAAAGGCATCATATAACCGTCGCATCAATTTTATAAAATTCAAGGTTAAAATACATTTTTCCACCTATACTTTCCTTCAGGAAGCATTAGGTGCCCTGTAATAATAAATAAAGCATTTTTCTCCTAAACTACTTTCTAGAAGAGCAAAAATCCCCCTCTGTTAGTGATCCGTTAACAAAGAGGGATTTTGGTCCTCTACAAAATGGTTTAGAGAGAAAAATGCTCCATTTATTAGTACAAGGTGCCCAACACTCCTTGAAGGAAAGTACAGAGGAAAAATGCACTTTAACCCCAATAATAATAACAATAATATTGCCTTATTGAATTTGCAAATTGTTTTCCTAATTTTAAAATTAGAAAAATATTGCATTACATGAAATACCAATTAAGAACAAGTGACACTTCAGTTCTAAATATTCATTAATTTAATAGTTAGTTGACTAAAAAAATTACCGAAAATGACCTAAAAACTTTAAGAGACTTAATCAATATTAATTTTCTTAAAAGATTATTTTGTTGATAAATATTAAATATTTTAACAATATTTATTAGATTTTATTTTAAATAAACTTCAAGATACCTAACATTCCTAAAAAAAAAAATCAAGGACAAATTACCACCAAAAGACAAGTCACGTTAGTAAAAAAATGGCAGAGTTAACAGATTACTAATGAAGGGGGGTTTTTGCACCTCCAAAAAATGGTTTAGGGAAAA